CCCCCACCCCTGCAGGGACGGTGTTCAATCTCCCCGACAATCATTACCTAAAATATACAATGCAAACCGACAGCTTGGAAAAGCAACTGGGATTTCCTTCTTTATTTAAAAAGACAGGGCGTTCCAGCTCCTGTGGCCAGCATTTACAGGTGATGGGTGGGAGGCAGGGAACCAACACCACGGGAGTCACAGAGCATCGCCCGCGTGAGGCACCCCGGCCCTAAGAGCACTTGAAATCCACAGCCAGCACTAGCAGAAACGGCTGAAACCACTTGGGAGTTTCCATAGAAAAGAGCAAACCCATCTCTCACACCACTCTTGCCACACAAGATACCTCAAACCTGCACGCATCCCTAGGAAAGCGGGGAAACTCGCAGCACACGCTTCATTTTCAAAAGGGAGCAGCTACGGGCAGGATGAACACATCCCCACCTGGGAGAGCCAGGAGGCAAACGCAGAGATGAGGGGATACCAGTTTGCTTTTAAAACTGCCACAAAGCTCCATCGAGGTCTGGTTACATCTGCCTGGTCCTTTGGGATGGGAGCAAAATTCCTCCCTGCAACACCAGCTGCATTACGGATGGGTTTGCAGCCCGGCTCGACTTTGAACACACTTGTTTCAGTCTCACATTGAGCCTTTACGCTATCCTGGGGATGCGGGGAGGGTGGGAATGAAAAACAGGAATGTTGCAATAGCACTGGAACCACTGGTAGTTTCTCCTCCTGGAAAATTAACCCTAATTGTGCAACAAGCTTCTGCTTTACCATCCCAGGCCCGAGGAAACTTTGCAATTATCAAGCAACAAAAATACTTGGTACTCAATGGTTTTGAAGCCTTGCACGAAGTATCTATCGTCCCTCTGCATTTGATGTTCTCCAGAAATGAGGTCAGAGTGCTATCACCAAATGCTCTGATTGATAGGCTTACAATATTACTAAAACATTTTTGAAACACCACATTACAAGCCAAACAGCAAGTCAGCCTAAAAACAAACAAAAAAACCCCAACATTTCAAACACTAGTGCAAATAAAGCAAAAAGGAGAAGGAAAAGGAACAGCATGATCTAGGTTTCTACAATTAAATAACAAATATTAACAACTCACTCTGTACCGTTTCATTTCTTCCCACTCGTTTTCATAGTTTCAGTGTTCTCCAGCATCTCCACACAACTCCCTTTGAGCCACTCTCTCTCCCAAATTTGGGGGGGCCCCCGTCCCCCAGCCTGCACCAAGGCACCTTCAGCTGCGCCTGCCCCAGGCTCCGGCAGAGCACGGCTGGGGAGCAGCCCCTCTGACACAGGAGGGGATCAATGCGAGAAGATGCAATTTTAATCTTGTTAAGATCAGTCAGGCTAATCAACGCTCAGAGCTCAACTGATAAAGCTCAGCTCAATTCCAGGCTGAGCCTGGCTCAAGCACAGCTGTCAAACAGCTGGAGACCTGGAAAGGGCAGGGACAAAGCAGATTTTTTGCTCATGGGGAGCACGTAGAGCTGATTTTGCAGAGCGGAGAACATGTAATTACAAGAAAAAAGAATGAAAAAAAACAAACAACACACACCAGGTAACTAGTCCACAGTAAAGGGAAGCTTTGTTAACTCCAGACCACTCCATGCGCCGCTAAGCTTGCAAAGCGATTCCCCCACCGGCCACCCGGATTTATCAGCCGGAGTACATCTGAGATGGCAAAGAGTGTGCCCGTGTCCGATACGGGACACGGCAGTGCAGCTGGGCCAAGGCAAGCACATTTAAAATCCCATGTGCCCATCAGCAGTGCCCCACGCAGCCCCTGGCACCTCCTGCAACTTTGCCCAGAGCTCCGGTACCCGGCCAGGTCACCGCAGCTGGGAACATCTGCAGACCGCAGCAGCTTAATGCCAGCGATGCCTTCACGTGCTCTCGTTTCAGCTTCAAACAATTCCAGACTAAAGCTTTCCGACCCAAACACGTGCTGCTTTCCATGGCGCCCCGGCCAAATCTCCTCACTCTGCCACCCTGGGTCTATTAAGAGTCCTCAAACGAGGGGTGAAGCAGCACCTACGCCCGCACGGGCTTGCTGCGGCTCTCACGGCGTCACACTGACATCATCTGCTGCTGGCAGCAAGCAAGGACGGGGAGGTGTCCTCGCTCCGTACCACGGATTACACACGCATCTCGGGGTGAGGATATCAGACATCTCGCTGCCTGGGGAACACCTGAATTTTTGACACCTATTCATCACCCTTCCTACAGGAGCCGATTCGGTTATGGAAATGATGAGTTCATGTTGCTCTAAAAACAACTGCTCGTTCTCATTTCAAGGCAGGCAGCAGGTGAGTTGGCTGGACAAGCCTTCCCAGTTTCAAGAAACGCTCAGCTTTTGTTGCATTTTGCTAAAAAGCGCTTCAGCATCTGGGCACGGCTTTCTGGTGCCCAGCTGTCCCGTCCCCGGGAGCCACCGGCGCACCAGCTGCCTGCTCACAAAGTATCAATAAACCTTTCAGAGGGGCTGAGCTGGGACCCTGCCAGTGCCGGGGTTTAAACAGTGGCTACAGGTATAAAAAGACGTAATTAAAAGCTAAAACAGATTTGTTGATACGCCACTAGTCAGGCAGTGTATAGAGCTGATCTCCTAGGGAAAAAGTCATCGAAACGGGAAGTTGCAGCACGTCGCTTGTGCAGGCAGCTGCAGGTTGGCATCTCCCCAGCTCTGCCCAGCTACCTGGGGAAGGCTGAGCAGCATGAAAAGGAGAGAAAAAAAAAAAATGTTTTTCCAAATGCAAGAAAGGCCACACTCCCCTTCACGCCTCTAAGACCTCCTGCTGCTTCCACCAGGCTTGGTTTTTGGGGGAAACGATGCGGTTGCAGAAGAGGATGCCCCTTCACCCAGGCCGTGCTGGGGATCAGTGCTTCCCACCCTGCACAGGGAGCGACGGCAGCACGAGATGCCCGCGGGTCACCCTGCCCGGAGGCAGCTTCCGAAACACGGAGCCACCCAGGGCAAAGCCCAGGTAGGAGCAGGCAGGGACCCCGCTCCCCGGCAGGGCAGGGTGCCGGGATGAGGGTCCAGCCGGATCCTGTATCGCAGGGAAGAGCAGCAGCGGAGGGAAACAGCCACTTCACCCCCATCGAGATGATGGGCTGAGCTCGGTCCGAGGTGCTGAGCAGATGCATGAAGACCAGCCATCCCAGGCACGGCACGGCTGCACACCCCAAACTGCCCCGTGGGGACCCTCAGCAGCCGCGGAGGTGGCACGCGGAGCCGGGGGGTGGCTCAGCACCCAGTCAGACATCGGAGGTCCGGATGCTTTCATCGTCCAGGTCAAAGGCAAACGGCTTCTCCTTGAGATGCTGCGGCTCCGACTTGTGCCGCACGCGCTTGCCCGGCGTGACTCTGGCATCACGCTCCGTGAAGGCTGGCATGAACACCGAGTCTCTCAGTGGCACGGGCCCCTCCTCCAGCACCGGCTGCTTCCCCTCTGCCTGTGGCACCGGCGTCCAGGGCTGCCAGGAGGAGGTGGAAGGGGCTTTGCACAGTGCTCTCCTCTCCTCCGCTGCCTGCCTCTGCTGGGAGGAGGTCGAGAAGCCCCCGGACTTGACCATGGAGCTGGATCTCAGGAAGGACATTTCCTGCAAGGACAGATGCAGAGTGAGCGCTGGCTGGGGTTGGGTTTTTGTGCATGCAATGCTGTGAGCGATTTGCAAAGCTCTGGAGACCAGGAACAGGCCCTTTCCACGCTTTGCAGAAAGGAAAAAAAAAACCCCACACTAAGCAAACTGAAAAACTGAATTAAATGGAATGGCCCTTTGCCATCAGTCAGGCTCTTGTTTGTGCCTCGGAGTAAAGCAAGGTTCATGCAGGTCCAGTTCAATGGCTGAATCTCACTTTTCCATCTTTTTCAAGAAAACTGTTCCAGTGCCTGGCAAACAAACCCAGTGAGGGCAGGGATCTCATCCTGGAAAAGGGCTAACCGAGCACTTGCACAATCCACTCAGTAAATACCTTGTACATTGACATAATCTTCATTTGACAGTAAATATGAAGCAGAAAGGACATGACCTACCCTCGGGCGGGTTTTCAGGGCCTGGACTGCTCCTGTGATTACTCGGATCCAGCTGTGCATGTCCTCAGGGCTGTCTGCCTGCAAAACACACCAGCCGGCAAGACGGGGAAAAAAAAAAAAAAAAAAAAAAAATCACGGCACCACCCTATCTTCCCCTGCAGAAGATGAGCCACTCCACATTGCAGCATTTTTATCTCAAGAATGGATAAAGCATTTAAGAAAAATAATACTAATTTTTGGGGTGTTACTGCCCCTGCAGAGGCTTGGGGTCCGCATCCCACCACGAGCCCACCCGGGGCTGTGCTCTCTGGGCAGCAGGGTTTGGGGTTTTTGCCCGTGTACGTGAGGATGTGCATCCATGGCACGGCACGGCACGCTGGCTGCTCTTCGGGGACTCGTAAGTGCCGAAAGGTCTTGCAAGTACTGAGAGCACCATGCACAGCATCCCCTGCCTCCTGCCTCCTCCGCGGCAACGGGGACATCGACTTCAATACCCCTCCCCACTGCAGAGAGGGTCCACCAAATGTGCAGGACAGGAGAGGTGCAGACACAGCCCCACGCACTCAGGATGCTCACCGGATCGCCCTGTGCTTTTGGCTTTGCACAAATAATCACTATTATAAATAAGCCCAAGGGGAGAAGTGAAACTGCCCAGCAGTTCTCCCTCATCGCCCGTGCCCTGACGCCGGGCGAAGCTGTTACAAACTCATCTGCTTGTGTTTGCTGGTCGAGAGGATGCTGAGGAACAGCCCGTCTGCAGAAGCTTGCATGAGCTGTTGAGAGCTGAACTTATTGCCCGGAGAAGTGAATCGGCCTCGGCTGCCTCACCTGGATGTAGAAGGTCCTGGAGCTCGTTACGATTTCAAAGAGGTTGTCCCGCATCAGGAGGTCACTAGGAACAGTGAGAAAGAGACAGTCACTACCCAGAAATCATCGTGGATGGAAAAAAAATTTCAAAATCTGTGTTTATCTTCGTCTCTAGAGCGTGGTGGGGAAAAACATATTGAAGGCAAACCTTGGATCTCATCGGGATTTTGAGAAGACAACTCCAGCTCCGCTGAGACCCTTCAGCTACTCACACACTTTGGCTTCTGCCGTCTGCGGGCAAACTCCTGCCCCTCCCCAGACCCGTAACCCATCTCATTTACGGTTCATTTTAAATGTGAGCTTTCTATTACTTATTAAGAATAAACAATTCAAAGATATATTAATAAATTATATTTTTACTTTAGCTAAAGAGGTTTGTTTTCTTCATTCATTTTTTATTGCAAATCTTCAAGTTAGTTTGATTTTATCAGCGTTTGCTGCAATAAATTGTTCCCAAGGGAATGTGTAGCCATCTGTGTTAGTTTAGGGAAAACCACCTATATACGGCTTTCGGCAGCTTTATGAAGACCTTTGTTCTTCCATCATATGATGCTTTTTACTATGCAGGGCCCCACGCTCCTTAATGTACAGAGATAAGAGAGCTGCAGGAGCACGCCTGCCCAACAGAGACGGCTACCGGCACCAGGAGAACAGAGGACGGACAATATCCTGCATCCAGCCATGTTTCCTTGACCTGCTCAGGGAGCTGAAGGGGAAGAAATTTCTTAAAAGCAAAACAAAGCGGCGACGTTTGGGTTATAGGGTTGTAAAAGAAAAGCAGGCGGCAGCTCAGCCTGGTCCCAGCTCACAGCCGCTGCTGAGGACCCTCGGGGCTCCCCGAAGGAAGGAGCCCAATTCCCTTCCTGCCTTCCTCCAGTTCAGCTCCTCGGGGAGCTGCTTCCCACCAGCAGCCGGAGCAGCCAGAGTTCTCGTTGGCTTCTCCTGCCCCGGTACAACCTTGGGATACGGCAGGGAAACACAGACAGGAGCATTACCCAGACTTGACCAGGCACTCGTGGGTCTTGCAGACATCCTTCAGGAGAATCGAACGCAAGGGCTCCTTGTCCTGGGGAGACAAGAGAAGATGATGATGGGCTTGGCCGGTCCCTGGGGCTGGCAGTGCCGGGATGGGCATCCCACGGAGCCCCCCACGTCGGCACGGCAGCGGCGCCCAACCTTCTGCTCGGGAACCGCTGATCCCAGGTGGGGGCTGCTCACCTGCTCACACTTGTAGTAACTGATGGAAAATTCATCCAGAACAAAGTACCGGCGCTTCCAGCTCTTCCTCTGGAAAAGAAACAAGAAAACCACTCAGTCCTGAGCGCCGATGTTCTCCCCATGGTGTGGTGGTCCTGCATCCAGAGCATCTCTGGAGCATCCCCAACCCACGGGGGAGCAGGCAGCCCAAGGCCACCCACCCAGCCGAGCCACCCCACTGCCCACGGCACAGGGGACCCCCGGCACTCACCACATTCCCCTGCTTCACGCAGTAGCCACTCTTGAGGACAGGGGGACCAGCGGGTGGTTTGGTGGCAGAGGTGGGGATGTAGCTCTGCGAGCGTCGCAGCAGAGGGTGGGCAGCCGCATCGCTGCCTTCCCCTCCATCCCCCCCGTTCTGCAACCGGAGAGCACAGAGTTTGGGGGGGCACAGAGAGAGCAAGGGGGGGGCAATTCCCTGCTGGAAGGCAGGGCATCTAAGCTGGAGGGAAAAGTAACCTAAAGCAAGCCCTGAACGCAGCGCCGCTGGCCAAGGGCTAATTGCAATGCCTGGACACGAGCAGGGGAATGAACCAGAGTCGAGAGCCGATTTGATCTCGTTGCACAGAGCTTTTCAGACTGCTGCCTGAGCGCTCTTCGCTCTCTTGGTGCCCACATGTTAAGAAACTGGAAAGGTTACAGAAAAGCCACAGAAGCTGTTTGAGGGCTGAAGAAAATCCTTTGCAGCAGGGGAGTTAAAGGACCTCGTTTGCCCGGCTTATCAAGCACCGAGAGGTGACCCGACTGCATCGCAGACCTTCTCAGGGGAAAGGCGAGGTACGAGGAGCTCTTTCATCTGGCGGGGGGAGAGGCAGAACAAAAACCACCAGCTGGAAGCTGGAGCCAAACAAACCCAAGTTAGAAAGCAGGGATGCTTTCCAACCGGAGAAGGCAATACATCATGGGAATAAACTGCTCAGGAAAGCCATAGAGTCTCCGCTCCACATTTTTACAGCCAAATTCTCCCAAAACAAACTGTGATGTTTGGAGTTCAGGTAGAAAGACCACGCTTCCTCTGGCCCCAAGCTGTCTCTCCCCAAGCACAGCGCTCGCTGCTACGAGCACGGACAGGCTGTGCACGTGGCCACGCACCCAGTGCCCATCCCCTGGCTCACCCCAGTGCATCCCAAGGGCCAGATCCTGCCCCACTACTGGCATCACCCCCTCCCTCCTCCACACCACCCCGTCCCCTGGCAGCCGCCCTCCCTTCCCCCTCGGCAGCGCAGAGGACGGTTGAGATGAAACATCTGTGCTCATCTCCTTCCCCCATCCCTCCAACCCCTTCCTCCAGCTCCGAGCTGAGGTTTGAGAATTGCCATGGCAGCCGGGGTGGCTCTTACCACCACCAGCCTTATATGGCACCCGCGCCGGTGTGACTGCCGCTGTGGTTAACCGACAACCTGCCCACCCTGCTCCTTCCAGCACCTTCGAGAGCCTGCTTTGGTTTCTCCAGGACAGAGACAAGCACCCATTTGGTTGGCCCCAAACTGCCGCCCAGCACCTCTGGAGAGCGATGGAGCAGAGCTCCAGCCCAGCCGGGAAGGGGAAGCCGCCCGCTCCCCTCACCTGGGGCTGCACCAGTTCTGCCCAGCCTTACAGATGTACATGTCCAAAACCAGAGATGGGGATGCGGATGGGGACCTGTTACACCCAAGGGGTGATGCTGCTGGCCGGTCTGGAGGTGCAGCTGGAAAATTGGGCTCCCCCCTGTA